GTTATTAAGGAAATGTATTTGGGCATTCTTCGCCGTCTAAGGGAAGCGATTCGAAAAAAAAGACCAGAAAAATGGACTAATGGTGGCTGGATCCTACACCAAGACAATGCTCGCCCTCACACAGCGCACTTGATGACTAGCTTTTTGGCGAAAAAACGGGACACAAATCCTACTTCAACCACCCTATTTCCCAGACATCGCACCAAATGACTTTTTCCTGTTCCCCAAACTTAAAGCAGTTCTAAAAGGAAGACATTTTGACACCAGGGATGACATAATAGAAAAATCGCCGTTAGAATTGAAGAGCATTCCAAAAGAGGCTTATAAAAACTGTTTAGAAAATTGGGAGAAACGATGGCGCTGGTGCGTTGAAGCAAGGGGGGATTACTTTGAAAAGTTTTAATAAAAAAAAATTAAAAAATCTTACCTTTTTTTTTTTTATGGACCCAGTCCGGGAACTTATGGGACATACCTTATATTTACAGTCTCTAACTCCCCACCATGGTTCCCATGGCCAGTACCATCTGTACCTTTAATATGTACATTACAATACATAATTATATTTGATATCAGCACAAAGGTTTGATTCTAAAGATGGAGAATAGGTAATCAGTCGGTCAAAGAGTCTAACCAGGCTGGGGTCAAGGACTCGGCCGAGTTGGCCTGAACAATCCCGAGTGAGAGCTGACATCCCGCAGTTCTGTTCTAAAGATGGAGAAGACGGCATCTACCACTGATGGCATCACAACGTCTATACAGGATGTCGACGTATGGATGTTTCACCCTCCATCAACACACCAGCTTGTCTTCCTCAAACTTGATGTCAAAACCCACCTCGTGTCTCATCTGATCAAACTAGAACAGGAACTTTTGAATCGGAAGAGTTAAAAATTGAAATTTACAAAATTAAAAAAATTTTAAAGAGCCACAAAATGTGTTCTTGCCAACAATAAATAGCACTCGCATAATATTTGTGTATGTAACTATATAAAGAGCCGCAGCTTCACATCCAAAGAGCCGCATGTGACTCGCGAGCCGCAGTTTGCCGACCCCTGAATCTAGACTAGATGTCATCCGTAATGGTACTTCCTTTGACCATCAATTACTACACCTACTACTGTGTGTTGTGGACTGTTATTCTTTATTTTATCACGTAAATAAGCATTTTTTTTATCTCATTATGAAAATATAAATATTTTAAAATATCTTTAAAAATTGTTATTTTCGTCGACTTGCTTGAATGTTTCTTTATTTCTTTATTTCGACTTAGAGCGCTATGTCCCCCTAGGGACACTTGCACTTTAAACATAAACAAAAATTTTGAAAGAAAATAAAGAAAGATATTTAAATATGTACAGAATTAGTATGCAAGTTAGTTAGATGAAAAGATAAAAATATATATCAACACAATTGATATATGTACAAAGGGTTGGTATGAAAATTTAATTAAATGAAATCAAATGGTAAAGTATTGTGTGTATTCGAGAAAAGCAATTTACAGATTTAAAAAAAAAGTTTTAAGTTGAATGTTTCAAGTTGTGAGAAGATCTAAATTGATGAGAGATAACATAATGGAATGAAATGTATGGTTAAAATTATGTTTACAAGATCCCAATATTTTACATCGCTATAAAGACAGTTTGATTTATTTGTGAAAAGAAACATTCGCGTCTTAATGTCTTCATACGCTGTATATATATATCAATAGATGGCGCATTATTACTATGTATTAATTTATGCCTAACTTGTCCTTTTTGTTTGCGGAAGAGCATTGCTCGATGTAAATATTTAAATATAATTCTACTGTCCTAAAAACTTATGTCCCTAGTTTGCTTAAATACCATTTCTAAGATTCCACCTTTCAGTGTTGCATATAAAAGCAGAATGATCCAATACAGTATTAGAGCTCTAAAGAAGCGGTCTGGTAGATTAAATTGGCGAAACCGCTGGGAGGGTTCACCACTGATGAGCCAAGCCTTCCCAATTTTTTTCAACGCTCTAAGGACAATATACGTTTGATTTATTTGTGAAAAGAAATATTCGCGTCTTAATGTCTTCATACGTTATATATAGATGGCGCGTTATTACTTTGTATTAGTTTACAAGATTTGTTCTTCATTTCAATTCCAACTTTATAAAATATCATAGGAAATATGAATATTTGAGAGAGCCTGGCTCACCAAAGGTGTGCGCAATGCCCCAGTAGCTAGGTCAATAGGGAATGTTGAATAGGTTGTCACATGCTGACTAGAAATGTCAGGTAAGATTTTAGCTTCTTATCACCATCCATTTTAGCTATTGAAAAGAACTAGTAAAAGAACTTGTTCTTCTGATTCCTGTGAACCAAAACCAAGGTAACAACAATCCTGAGATTCATTTTCAATTTTTTGAAATGGTCCATAAAAATCAGTTTTTGATGTACTTAATATATATTATTACGGTTTCGTTTTCAAAAGGTTGTTTCAGAGAATTCATCAAACGATATCGAACGACTGTTTCTGGTTTAGGATAACCAATTCCAACCATTGTAGGTTGCTTGGAGCATTCAATTTGCTATGTAGAAGTATGATTGCACAGTTTTCAAACTGTCAACTATCATATCAAATTCTTCGAATTCTCTTTTGTATCTTTGTTATCGGCCAAATTTCAAGCTCTTCTAATCTCAGTCAAAGTTCGAAAAACCTTTATCAAACTTCGCTGATGAGGAATCTTGTAATTTCTACACCAAACCTTTCAATTCAGGTTATCCGAGAGTCTAGAAGCGTTCCTTATGATGATCTAGATCTTCTTGAAGATAAAAATCTTGAGGAGATTAAAATTCCACGTAAAAAACGAAGTCTAACGGTCGTAGGTCTTGTAATCCTTAACATTACCTTGACAATGACTATTGTCATCAGCTTGCTCTGTTACCGCGCTAAGCGACGGAAATTAAGAGCAAATCAAAACACTTTACAAGACTCGGCATCCACTAACAACACATTCTGGATCACCAAGATGTTTCTCATTCAACGTTTCTTGGATAGCACAGCTGAAGAAACAGAACCTCTACTTGAGGCAGGTGATACCTTTGGCACGCATTCACAAAAGAATCCTTCCAAAAAGAACCATACGAAAACAAAAAGAGTGGAAAATGATCAACCAAAAACAAGTTCACCCATTTTAAGACACAAGAAAACTCATTTTACTCAAACAAATCTATCAGAAACAGATAAAAGCTGCAAAATTCATATTGATTCAAAGGTAGATGAAAATGCATATGGTGATGTTAGTATAAGCTCAAAAATCAATTCACCAAAAAATATTTTGAATGGTATAAGTGTATTAAATGAGCAGATTATCCTCTCTTCAGCGGAACATGATTCTTCAAAGAAGACGATCGATAAAGATACGGAAGAAAAGAAGAAAAACCAAAGTTTTTTGGATAATATAGAATTCGAGAAAAATAGACACGAAGAAGCGTGGAATTTGTCCATTCGCAAAGAACCGGCAACCGAAGAAGATCAAAACCAGAATATCAAATCTAAATGCAACGAGATTAAAGTAACATTAGAAGAAGAAAAGATAATTGAAAAAATTAACATAGTTTTCAACAAGAATGAATTGCTACCAACCGAAGAGATTATAGAATTCCAAAAAGAACGAAATTCAAAGACAAGAAATCCATTATGTGAAAGGGGTTCAAGTCCAATTACAATTCAATCCACAGCTAGTATAGGTATCCAAACCTACGAAGACATCCAAAGTAAAATTAACAAAATGCAAGAAGATTATTCAAGAAAATCTCCTGAAAACAATAGCAGAGTAAGTGATCAGGAAGCAGCTAATGAGACTGTTGAAAGTCTATCATCAAGAACTCAAAAAAGAAATCGAAAAAGAACAGAAATCAAAGCCATTCAGGAAGTAGATAGTCCAATATGTCACGTCGTTTTGCCAAAAACGATTCAAACACTCAAAGGCCAAAATCTCACATTCTCGCTGACCATTCCAAACATAACGAGAGGGAAGAGATCTGCTAAACCAGATAAAGAAACACAAGGGGAGGTCCAGAATTTGATAAAAACAACATTCAAGAAACCAGTTTCACATAAGAGCTAACATTTAGAAAAATTAATAATAATATGAGAGAGACATGAACTTTCACATAATCTTCACCAAAAGGAGCAAGATTTTGGACATTGCACGATATCATTCACCAGTTTCAAGAACATGGTCCCGTAGTGAAACAGCCATAAAGCCCGTGAACCAATGTTCAACTTGCTTATTTTTATAAAAAATGGTGAATGATTGTGTGCATTGAATGAAAAGAAAAGTAAATAAAAATGCGTTCAGTTAAAAGATAATATTTTATATAATTTAGGTTGAAATTGGCGAAAAAGATAAAAAGAGTAAATCCCAAAAGTGAATTGTGAACATATGCACATAGTTTACTTCTTTATATTCCCTTGTTGTCGTCTGTAATTTCTAAATTTTCAATTCTTTTTTTTTTTAAGCTTTTACTGAAAGTGTTATTTCCTTAATATGATTACCTTTTTGCGCAACTTTGTACATAAATATATATAGGTTCTCAACTTTTTATCAGACCTTCTAAATTTATGGTTTTACTTTTAAAATAAAATTTATACGCATTAATATTTAACAGACCAGTCCACCTAGTAGCCTGAATATTTGCACACTTTCTCAATACCGATGACAATGCAAGTTTACAGTGTCTATAGGATACGAAGTGTTCAAAGGAGTTTATAGAAGTTATGTATAAACAGCACAAGAACCTATTAATATACTATAAAGTTATTTATATTTAGTTTCAATAGTGTTTAAATAATATTATATATTTATAAATAAAACATTTATATAACGACAACTTGAAGTTACACCGCATGAGTTTCTTTTAAACGAAAAATCAAATTTTTATTTAAAGATGAAATATCGACTATTTCTAACCTTTTTGGATGATGTATGAAAGGATGAATTATGAAAAGTAATGATGAACGGAAAAATACGTCCAGGGTAGCCTAGTGGACATGGCATCTGCCCGGTAAGCGGAACTGTGGGTTCGATTCCCATCCCTTGACACTTTTATTTTTACTTTTCATAATTCATCTTTTCATACATCATCCAAAAAGGTTAGAAATAGTCGATATTTCACCTTTAAATAAAATTTTGATTTTTCGTTTAAAAGAAACTCATGCGGTGTAACTTCTCAAGTTGTCGTTTTACAATCACAAGCCGCAGTGTATTATATTGTAAAACATTTATATATTATAAGAAATAAAATATCATAAACACACATGAAGATTTATTTTAAAACCAAATTAAACAAACTTTCTACTTTGAGTCAAAAGTCGATCCATCAAATAACTTGATATAAAAGGACGTACCTGAATCTGTAAAAAAAACAAAAAACATTTTTTTTCTAAATATTTCGAGAGATTGCTCACTCTTTATCAATTTATTGCACAGTAAACTTAATTCACAAATTATTGTAGATCACTCGAAAACAACTACAAGAATTTTCAAATTAAGCTTACTGTTTTGTTTTCAAATCAATAAGCTTGAGGGATAAGTCTCTTTCAAATACATTTATTTCAAGCTTTCGGGCATTACCGCCCTTCGACAGAAAAAATTATATTAGCTACTAAAGTTTTCTTAAACTATAATTTTTCCTGCCGAAGGGCGGTAATGCCCGAAAGCTTGAAATAAATGTATTTGAAAGAGACTTATCCCTCAAGCTTATTGATTTGAACATAATATTAAGGGATTGCCTATTAATTGTAAGCTTACTGTGCAATAAATTGATAAAGAGAAAGCGATCTCTTGAAATATTTTGATTAAAAAAAATTGTTTTTTTGTTTTTGCTTTATAGATCCAGGTACGTCCTTTTATATAAACTTTCTACTGTTGTTTTACTGCGATGAAATATATTGATAATTATGTATGGGACGAATGTCCTTAATAAAAGCTTTCTTTTTGTATATTTTTGCAGATTTCTAACTATCGGAAATGTATATAAAATCAAGGAAATTGCTATGATTCTCATCGAATGGACAAAGAGCTAGCTTTCTCACAAACTCTCAAATTCCAGGTGGGACCATCTGTCATATGACTCCAGGATTTCCTGCAGGAGTCTTTGTGAAGGATCTTATTTCTTCCCGCATTTGTTGTCAGTTTCCCTCAGTAGTATTATTGTTATTCATAATAACAAACATACATGTTTTATTGAAATAGAGACATAAATTCACGCTAAAATAGTGCCCATTATAATAGAATATTCAATATAAATTGATGCCTAACCGGTATATTTATGAATTTCATGTGAATTATCTTTGCTAGATTACATTTTAATGTGTAGATTTTAATGATATCTACTGTTCACAAAACATATGTCCATATTCCTTGACTACCATAACTTAGAATTCCTTAAAAGTGGCGGTGGCTATATAAGCAAATGAGCCTACCAATACAATAGTAGATCGGTTTGGTGGATTAAACTGGCGAAAACGAAGGGTGTGTTTAATCACTCTTGCACTTGTTCCAAAATCACTTTATTAGGTACCGATCAAAAAGAGCAACCTAGTTTATGATATTTACAACAATGAATAATATGTGAAGGTTATTAAAATATTAAAACAAAGTGTCCAACGCGGGATTCGATCCCGGTTCATGGATGTCGGGAATCGAGGGTGTTACCGACTCTTGGTGTGTTTACCACTGATAAGCCAAGATCATCAGAGAGGCCTTCAACATCATCGGGCGGCCCCCTGACCTGCAGGCTTGGATCTTCGGCGGGTCCGGCCTTGAGGACGACGCCCTGACCATCCTCGCGTCGGCAAAGCTGCGTGTCTACCGCCACTTTGTCCAGGTTGGGCTCGGTGGAGTGGAGGACCCGCTCATCGCCTGGACGAAGACGCTCGCGCGCCGGGGATGCCTTCCTTCATCCTCCATCGCTTAATCTTTGTATATATTTTTAACTTCTGTATATATCCTTTTTTCTTCTTAAACTACTGTTGCACTCTTTGAGTTTGTAAAATTGTCAAGATGACAATAAAATTGTTTTAATTGTCAATTGTCACTAATAAGCCAAGCAGTAGGAAGGTATTGATTGATAAAAATAGTTTTTCAAAAAAAGCTGTTTCAATGCACTAAAAAGGATAAAAATCATCATTTCATCATCCACCATTGAACAATTCTATCTATACGAGTCGAAATAAAGGCGGTGGGTGACGATCGTCGTATATTGAGTGAAGAGATAAAATATTTAGTAAATATAAAAATCTGCTTATCAGTTGCTCCATATCAAATCACATCAACTGTTTTGTTAACCTACATTGTCATCGGGTATGAACAAGTGTACCAAATTTCAGACTTCTAGGTGTTCTGTAAGTATATAAAAAATTGATTACAAGATTTGTGGACAGACTTACATGGAAACAAATTAAATAACAACTTTTAAAAGGGAAAGGTGTGCTCTTACAGTTTCAATTATAACAAACTTACGGGTGACCCGGGCTTCGCCCCGGGATTGACCCGTGTGCATATCTACCCGAGTGATATATATTTAGATAAGATTTTTTTAAATAATTGTTTGTTATTAGCATTATCTATTTGTTTGTATCAGCATAATTTATTCTAATCTTTGATAGAGGGCGCTGTTCGTCAGCTAAGTAGAATAATTTGAATATATAGTTTAATAATTGATTTATATATTTTTTAAAATAGCCTATCGTCTTCCCCGTATTTTTTTACCTATGTATGGAAATTTTGGTTTTAATTAGTGAAATACTGCGAATTTGTATACCGGACATGCAAACAAACAAACATACAAACAAACAAACAAACAAACAAACATTGATTTTTATATATATAGATGTCTGAGACTTCAATCAATATTTAACATAATTATTTATTTTGGTACACTCGCCAACACACATTTAATGTATTAAACAATATACAGATATGTGCTAAATAAAGAAAGTGCTTCTATTTGTCAAACCTCCATCCTATCAATTTGTCACATGTCGGGGAGATCTACGTCTGTCCGACTTCAGGGTGGAATGTGACATCGTACCAGACGACCTTCAGTGGGTTTCGTCTGATGAAAATAATTTTAGTTTTACTTTTGTTTCTCCTATTAACCCTATATAATCTTATATGTATGATTGATAAAAGTATATTCAATCTCTCTCCATAGAAGGAAGGCTTTCCGGAAGATAATCAGTCACGAAAATAAAATGCACCTCTAAAGTCAAAATGGATACTCAGTGCCATCTGCTGATTCTCTTTTCAAAATCCAAAATCAGGTCTGTAATACACCAGTTTTGGCAATATCAGAACACCTACCTTGAAATTATGGTTTAGGGAAATGTGTGTCATCATTCCATAACAAAATCGCTATTATAAGAAGGTTTTCTATAGTGTATCTCTTTACAAACGGCGGGTAAGCCTTCTGATACCGCTTTGGTGCTTCAACGGTAGGCCTGAATAATCCTGCATTGAGATACGAGTATATTATACTAGCCGAATGACCCGGGCAACGCCCGTTTTTACCCGATTGAATGTTTTTATTCAAATACTATTTGTTACAATTATAAATTGGCGCCTTAAATAAATGCATGTATTAGTTAATAACTATAGCCTGTGTGCTTTATCTGTCTATGTACTGTTGGCTTCCGTAGGCGTCTCTTACTGGGAAAAAGAAAGAGAGGATTCCATTTAGTTATTAACTAATATATGCATTTATTTAAGGAGCGACCCGCTCCAACACAATAGTTACAAAAACCAAAAAGCGAGTGGGGGGGGGGGGGGGGGGCAAAGTCAAAAACAAAGTGTCTCGCGTAGTGGTGGCGTGATCGTAGCCAACCAATAGGAGAGCGCCATTCCAAAAAAAAAAAAGCAAACGGTGACAGAGATGAAGACATGACGCATGACGCTCGTAACTGTATATAGAATACTGTCTAGCCACTTTGTTCCATGTCGTTGAGAGTGGTTCAAAAAGAAATTGATTCCTATTCTGTCTGTTTGTCCACAAATCTTGTATTCAATTTTAATATGCTTACAAATCACCTAGAAGACTGAAATTTGGAATACTTGTTGAAACCTGATGACAATGCATGCTGACCAATATTTAAGATGTCTAGGTTATCTGTATGGTCGGTATTGCACTAATTTTAATTTTTACATTTAATTTCAATATTTTATTTCCCAAATTTGTATTTACTTCCAGACCAGCTAGAAGTCCAAAATTTTGTATACTCACTCAATCAAGCTAAAAACACAAGTGTACAAAATATCAGACTTCTAGATAACCGTGATATATATTCTGGAATAAATTATAGAATATAATTTATATACGTATATAATTATTAATATACAGGGTGATCCAAAAGTCCCGCACAACTTTAAAAATTAATAACTCCGCGAATATTTGCGCTAGAGCAATGCGGTAAACACCATTGGGTTCAGGATGCAATGGGATTTTTTATGGCAAATAATGAAAAATTCGAAATTGATTTTAGTTACAACTTTATTCGCTAGATGGCGCTCTAACAAAATCATCGATTCAGCGGCCAAATTGTTTGATAAATTGAAAATTATAACTGAACGACACGTATTTTTCCTTTTTGAATACCAGGAAAGAACCCTAATAATATCAAATGATAAATTAATAAAACACCATTCCGCCAAAAGTTAGAAGAAATGGTTAACGATTTTTAAATACAATCTGAGATATGTAAAATAGGTAAATGCAAATTAAAACATGTAGCAAAAAATATCTATATTTTAGATGGGGTTTTATGAAATAGATTGAATGTTTGAAAAACACTGCTGATATCAATACACGATTTTTTGAAATGTTAATATAGTACCAAAAATTATGATGGCACTACTAATAGGATTTCGTGCTAAAAGGAATGTGTAGTTTCTTGACTAATTGGTGACACTTGACTATTTAACTGGGTATTTGACATGATCCAAAAATGAAATATAGAGGGGAGTGACAAAATATATTTGTCGTACTTTATTCCAAATATCCTATGGGTTTTTCAAATGTTATCATTGTTTATTATACTGTACAT